TGGGAGATGGTCGCAATTGTTGCTAATTTATTATTCATTTATATATCATTCATTGCAAGATAGCGATTTTACAACTCTTATTTAACCTAGCAACTTATGTTCCTCAATATATATAAAACTTTTTTTGAAGCGTTGCTTGAATATTCTGGACTTTGCGTTATTTTTTAATGTATCTCTCAGGATGTCGCTGGAAATAAGCCGGAAACTCTTGTTTCAGCCTAGTTTCCTGCAGTAAAAGAACATTGCTATTGTTTTTCGTTATTATTTAATTAAATTTCTAACCTAATAGCAGAATAAATAAAACTAGAAAAGGAAAATGGACTAGGAGTGCAATCGTTAAACTAATTAATTTTAATATGAATGAATGCAAAAGTCGGACATTGAATAGTTAATCGAAAACAATAACGAAGAGATACGAGTTCGAATCTTCGTAATAAACTGCGTGGGCTAGATATACGACTGTCGGGTTAGGAGCAGCTTTTATACTCATTTAAAAGTGCCCAGGGAATCGGCAGGCTGAAAGACCAGCCAGGGCGCGAGGGCAGCCCTCTAATTACACGAGCAGTAGCACCGCTACATTGTTCCTCAACATGTGGGCCTTGGTTGTTGTTATAGGAGGGGTTGGTGACGCACTCTTGCTTCTACTCTTATAATAATAATATATAATATAGCGGTTTCAGCGTTTATTAGGCCGGAGGCCTGTCGCCGATTCTTAACATTACTTGAACGTGCAGCTCACTGCTACAATTCTGCTGCGCTTAACCGCCCGGCCTCCTCGCCGATTCTGACCAGAAACTGGCGCACAGAGCTGGGATCGAACCCGCGCCTCTCTGCACCTCTCTTGGTACTCTGCACTGTAACCACTGGGCCACCCTGCCTTACTACCAAAGTTTTACATTTGACGGAAAATTGAAACGAAAAGCGGTAATTTAATTAGATCTGCAGGAGAGCACGTCCTTACTTACTGTTGCAGTACAATTCTGTTGATACCTCCTCACTCTTGGCTCTCGCTTCCTGTTGACAGCCACTCACTGTTGGCTCCCGCTTTCTGTTGAAAACCACTCACTGTTAACAATCGTTTGCTGTTAACAATCGTTCACGGTTACATATCGTTCACTGTTAACAATCGTTCACTGTTAACGTTCAGTCCATGTTATCAGTAGTCTGTATCGCTACTTGTCTTGATAACGTTGATTTCGATTGCAAAAAAAAAAACACAGAAAATTTATATTGTCGAAACTACCACGAGAAAATTAATATCTAACATAATTAGTATCTATCTTAATTAATATCTAAAATAATAGTCGATTTTGCATATTATTTAAAATACATTGTGGCAAGATATTAACATTTATTGCTGTATTTTAGATGAAGATGGTGTCGTATGCTATCAGCGTCGGAGTAATGATGCAAATCATCGGAAATAACAGAGAAAAGGTGGATTAATTTGTCGTATGCATGTTTACTGGCTGCGATGTCATCAACTTGTTTAAATTCTCACCTAAATTATAAATCGGACCCGAGTTTTGAATCACTGTGTATAATTTCAAGTTATTTTTTTAATACAGCGCATGAAAAATAACTCTTTCACTTCCAATGATGTAAATATGTATGTATTATATGGTTAGAGTTGAATAATTTTAGGGGGTTATTTGAACAGAGCTCATCGGTGTCCTTTTGTTGCTTATTATCAAACAATCGCCTTCGCTATCGCTTGCCGCGCTCATTAACAACGCGAACTCTCATGGCCTGACGCCAAATGTAGAATTTAATTCATTATACCGCATTCACGGGGACCGGCTACCCTCCAACAAAACTTTTTTGTTTACAAACGGATCGCTCTGAAACTTGGTACACATATGTAAAACAGAAATCTAAGACCTTTTTGTTCGTGTAAATTTTTTGAAAAAAAAGAAAGAATACGTGGAATTAATAGAAAACGGCAAAAAATGGGTACTCCAAAAAAGTTTATAACTTTTGCAAATCACATGCTACAATGTCGAAACACATATCCTTCGATTTGTAACAACAATATCTAACGACTATAGAGCCTTGATTTTTTATTTTTCTCATTTTTTTTAATCGCGTTCTTCCCATTTCTTTCACATTTTTATCCCCCCCCACACCCCTCCCCCTCCCATATATAAGTCAAACCTTGCACAAATTCAAAAAAGGGTTTCTAGAGTCGCTACATATGGTTTTTAAGAATCGAATGGTATGTCTGTCATTGCCGTAGCTTAAAAACTGTTGGAGTTATGAACTTTTTAAGATGGCGATTTTGGATTTTTAAATTGTTCACTGGAGCCAAATAAAGTAAAATTCATTGAAAACAGAAGAATATGCTAAAAAAGTCTTGATATTGTAGCCCAAGCTTTCCCATTGCCAATTATTTGCATTCAGGGTACCAGCACGTGTCTTTAGATCACAATATCTCGAGGAGTTCTTCTCAGTTTAAGAATAAAGGCTAAAACCAAAAAAGTTGCATAAAACATTTTACTGGATAGAAGTCCTAGATAAATAAAACAGAACGTTTCGGGCTATGCCCATCATCAGCTAGTAAAATACATCTGGAAATACATGGAAATCAATTTTAGTAAATAAATTTAGAAAATGTTACCGTTGGATAGGGCAGAATGTCAGCTTTAAAATGAGTATAAAAACCGAAAAAGTGAAAATTTTCAATTTTAGGGTAGACGCTCCCCTTAAAACTTAACACACACTACCGCATTTAAATTTTGTAAATTTAGACGCAAAACGTTAAATTTAGCCATTTTATTTCGGTGGAAAATTGAAGAAATTATTTCGATGCGGATTTTGGACATTAAATATTTGTTGACATTATGAGTCGAAAGAAATATAGTATGAGGAGCATTGCTCGTGATATGTAGAAACGGAGTAGCAGCGAACTTCATTTCTATTAATTAGAAATAAAGCAGATCATTGTGCTACTTTAATTGCTGTCAATAATGTATGCTTGAACCAACAATTGGAATCATTCTTCAATAAAATGTTCTGTAGATTTTTCAAATCCCGAGGCTGATAGGTCCAAATTTTTACTCATAATCCGTCACTTGCAATGTGGATGTTATTTATTCAGTGGAACCACCTCAGTCCTGGATGAGCTGGATGTGCTGGATGGGGTGGATGCGACAGCAGCTGGTTATCGCGTTATTAGCCCAGCTTTAGCGCAGAGTTTGTGTTGCTCGGCCAGCATTAGCGGCGCTAAGGGATTAGTGAGTGCTAAGCCGGTGTCGCCCTCGATGGCGGCCTGTCTGCTCCTGTCAACGGCTTCTGTCATCGCTGATCTTCCACGATACTCCTGTCAACAGGCCAATCAATACTCATGTCAACAGGCATATCAATACTCCTGTCCACAGGCCAATCAATACTCCTGTCAACAGTCCCATCAATACTCCCGTCAACAGTCCCATTAATACTCCTGTCAACAGTCCCTCAATACTCCTGTCAACAGTCCCTCAATACTCCTGTCAACAGTCCCATCAATACTCCTGTCAACAGTCCTTCAATACTCCTGTCAATAGTCCCATCAATACTCCTGTCAACAGTCCTTCAATACTCCTGTCAACAGTACCTCAATACTCCCGTCAACAGTCCCATCAATACTCCTGTCAACAGTCCCTCAATACTCCTGTCAACAGTCCTTCAATACTCCTGTCAACAGTCCCTCAATACTCCTGTCAACAGTCCCACAATACTCCTGTCAACAGTCCCATCAATACTCCTGTCAACAGTCC